CCGCTGCCTGCTCCTTCTCCTTACACTGCGCCGTCGGGTAGTCTTACGGAGCGTCGTGAGCCTGAGTCTCGGCCTCCGTCGCCTGAGTCTAGTCCTGCGTCTTCTGAGTCTCGTCCAGAGTCGCCTGTCCGCACTGCCCGCACTGGTCGTCGTGCTCCACGTGAGCGTCCTCCTCCTGTCCTAGGCACTCACTACATGACCCTGCGTCCGTCCACTGCTCCACAGCGCGTCCCTCTGCCGTCTCCTCCTGCGTCCTCTCTTCCTGACGTTGCCGACCCGCCGTCAGACCTTACTCGTGCTGCCAGTCCTACTGTCGCGCGTCTTCTTGCCACTGTTGTCACTGACCCTACCTTTGAGTCCTCTGCTGCGTCTGCTCTAGTCGCTGAGCTTGTTGACTTTGCTGCCGCCTGTCGTCTAGACTACGCCGCTAGCCTTGTCGCTGAGTCTGAGTCTGTCTGTCCTCCGTCCGTCGGGGGTGAGTGTGCTCTTGGCACGGACGTCCTTGAGGACAGACAGGAGGAGTTTGAGTGCTTTGCTGCTGCTTTACCTCATCTCGTGTCCATGCTGATTGCCCCTGAGGGAGACCCGGATGCACCAGACATCCCGACCCCACGCTCCTACGCAGAGGCGATGGAGGGTCTCTACTCCTCTCAGTGGCAGACAGCCATGGACGCAGAGATGGCTTCCTGGAAGTCCACAGGCACCTACGTTGACGAGGTTCCCCCACCTGGGGCGAACATCGTCAGTGGCATGTGGATTTTCAGGGTGAAGCGGCTGCCGGGTTCTCCGCCTGTCTTCAAGGCGCGTTACGTTGCACGAGGCTTCAGTCAGCGAGAGGGAGTTGACTTCTTTCAGACCTTCTCCCCGACCCCGAAGATGACCACTCTTCGGGTTCTGCTGCACGTTGCTGCTCAGCGTGAGTACAAGCTCCACTGCCTTGACTTCAGCACTGCGTTCCTACAGGGCACCCTGCACGAGGAGATCTGGCTGCGCCGCCCACCTGGCTTCACTGGGTCGTTCCCTCCTGGTACCCAGTGGAGCCTCCGGCGGCCAGTCTACGGTCTCCGCCAGGCGCCCCGTGAGTGGCACGACACACTGAGGACTACTCTTGCTGCTCTTGGGTTTGCTCCTTCTACTGCTGACCCGTCGCTGTTTCTACGCACCGACACCACTCTGCCGCCGTTCTACGTTCTCGTGTACGTAGACGACTTGGTCTTTGCTACTGCTGACACTGAGGCACTCGCCCACGTGAAGTCGGAGCTGCAGAAGAGACACACGTGCACAGACCTGGGTGAGCTGACAAGCTATCTTGGCTTGCGGATTACCCGGGACACAGCACAGCGCACCATCACCTTGACTCAGTCACACATGGTGCAGCAGGTCCTTCAGCGCTTCCGCTTCACGTACTCCTTGCCTCAGCCCACTCCTCTGCCTACCGGTCACTCGCTCTCAGCTATGCCTTCGGATGAGTCCGTAGAGCCGAGTGGCCCGTATCCAGAGCTTGTGGGCTGCCTCATGTACCTGATGACCTGCACTCGACCTGACCTAGCCTACCCTCTTAGCATCCTAGCACGCTATGTCGCTCCTGGCCGTCACCGGAAGGAGCACATGGATGCAGCTAAGAGGGTGTTGCACTACTTGTGCAGTACGTCGGGCATGGGGCTTGTGCTTGGAGGACGGCGCGACGTTGTCCTCACTGGACACTCAGACGCTTCTTGGGCTGACGACCAGGCTACACAGCGGTCGTCTCAGGGTTACACCTTCAGCCTTGGCTCTGGCTCAGTTTCTTGGCGTTCTACACGCTCTTCCTCTGTTCTCAGCTCCAGTTGTGAGGCTGAGATCTACGCCACAGCCATGGCTGCCCAGGAGCTTCGCTGGCTCACCTACCTGCTGACCGACCTGGGAGAGCGGCCTCGTTCTCCTCTAGTGCTGTACGTCGACAACAAGGCCGCCCTTGCCTTGTGTCAAGAGCACAGACTGGAGCACAGAACGAAGCACATCGCTCTGCGCTACTTCCTTGCTCGAGAGCTGCAGCAGCGTGGTCAGCTTCGTCTTTCGTACGTGGCCATTCGGCCCAACACTGCTGATGTGTTCACCAAGGCGCTTCAGCCTTGTGATCATCAGCGTTTCTGTACTGTTCTAGGCCTTGTGCCTACTGTCCCTCACTTGCTCACTTCTTGACTTTGCTTGTACTGTGATCTCTATATATATACCTGCATGCTTACACTTGCTAGGTTGTGATCACTGTACCTCTTGTTTATTATCAAACTGCATGTGAACTGGTCTTGTGATTGCTTGCTTGTGCTCGGAATTTGTGTGGTATCCTTGAGATCCACCCTGAGCTTTGCTTTGCTTTGCTTTGCTTTGACTGGTCTTGTGACCCTCTGGTTGTCTCCCACTTCGCCTATGGGGGTGTGTCAAACATTGTATGTTTACATTGTGTAGGCTATAGTGGGTTTAGCCTTAGGGGGTACACAAACTTAGGGTTTCCTACTTGTACCCAACTTTGTGCTAGTTCATCCATTCCTGTTTCTTTCATTCTGACACGGCTAACGAAAGGGTGATGAGTTTCTGCTTCTATGAATTCCAGGAGATGGACCCGGCAGGTTCAAGATTGATAATAAAAAATAGTGCGGGAGCGTCTGTTGTCACTGTCTTCAGCGTGATCAGCGTCGAGGTATCCCTTTAGTTGCTTAACTCATTAGGTTAGCCTTGTAAGTCAGGCCGACGTGGGGCGTAGAGACGAAGTATTGTAGTGCGTGACGTAGATCCACCATGTGCTCGCTTTCAGGTCGACGCAGGTACATGGCGAGCTCGCTTGCGACGTAGGACAGGTCTGGATGGCACGCGACGGCTGCGAACAGTAGGCAGCCCAGCTGCTACTGGTAGAGATGATGACCAGCTGCGAAAAGCGGCGTAGTGTCGGAACGGAGTGGTGAGGTTGATAGGAGCGATGTCGATTTTTTTGCGAGTGTTTCCGCGTATTTAGCAGTCAAGAGGTGAATAGTGTCGGCGGACTGTGTGATGTTGCGTCCTAGGAGCTGAGGGACTCCGTGTGATACAGTCACCTTGACATTTTTTTTGAAGCGGCCGAGCAATTTTGTATGTTGTTCCCGGTGTAGAGGAGGCCGACCGCGTAGGCGACGAGGGGGATGTAGTTCCCGCGGGACTCCAAGCGATACATTCCCTGGTTGTGTGGGAGCTGCTGAAAGCCGAGCTCGATGGGGACTGTGTGGAGGTATTACTGCCACATACATGGTGCCAGTTTGATGCCGTAGAGTGAGTTTTGGAGGAGGCACACTGCTGAATCATCTTCTTCTAATGCGTGAGGTTGTGCGACGAAGATGATTGCGTCGATGATGGCATCCAGGAAGGCGTTGGAGACGTCGATTCGGCAGAGTGGGTGCTGTTTCATGGCAGCGATTCATATTAGAATCCTGATTGAGGTATGTCGCCCGACATGTGCGAATGTCAAGTTGTAGTCAATGTACTGCGTTTGCTCGAAGCCACGTACGACCCATCTTGAGTTGTATTCCATTGATCCATCCGCCAAAGTCTTGATTGGAAACACCAATTTTTCGCTGATCGTGGCACCGGCTTCCATGTGCCGCGGCGTTTGAGTGTCTCTACTTCGGCGGCCATGGTTGCTCTCCACTTTTCGCTGTCAGGCCCTTGGAGGGCTTGGCGAACCGTTGTGGGTTCAATGGGGTAATGGGTGCCGCAAACAGCTGCAGTGAGGCCGAGGATGCGTAACCTAGTCATCCATAAGCGAGCGCAATCTTCGTCGTTGGTGACTTCCACGACATCTTCGTCTTCGTGGTCGCCTGTCGCGTGAAGTATCCAAGTTGGGGTCTTCCTCCATGGGTGGGTGATTCTCAGCACTACTTACTTAGGGCTTGAAGTGCATCATTTGGATTGAGGTCAGTTGCAATGAATGTCGGGGTGTTGAAGTCGTTTGTAACGGGAATGACGGGTGGCTTGCTGTCGATTCGATCCTCTGGTCAGCTTCGTCCTGGTCTGTTGCGAAGCTATGCTCCTCCTGGAAGACGTTGTCTGGTGCTTGTTGTGCAGTGCGGTGCTGGCGGAACAGTGGATGTGTCAGCCATTCGTAGAAGATGCAGTCACGTGAACGGGTGCCCTAGTGGGTGGCGAAGTCGAAAATGGTCCATGCGTAGTACTCTGGTTCGATGCCGAGGTGGATTCCCCACCTTGTGCAATCTTCAAAATTTACGGTCCGGGCAATATGGGGCCGGTACTGTACCATACACCCGAACACCCTTAAAATTATGGTGTATGGATTCTCCTTGGTGTAGGGGTTGAACGAAGGGCCTTTGAAGACAAGATTGTGTGCAGTCGCGCAGCTTGGGCCATTGCGTAGGGCCAGTAGGCAGTTGGCACGGCTGATTCCTTCATGAAAGCCCTCATTTTTGTCGTGAGGCTCTTGTTGGTTCTCTCAGTTAACCCTTGCTGCTCGTGGGCGTAGGGTAGTGAGATAACCCGCTTGATGCCCTTCTCGGCGCAGAATTTGCGGAAGTTGTCTCCGTGGTATTCAAAAGCTCCCTCGTTCCAAAACGCTTTGAGTTTTTGTTGTGACAGTGTTTCTTCCATTTTCAGCCACAGGTAGAAGTAGTCGAAGGCATGATAGCGTCTCTCAAAGTTGACTACCGAGACGAATCGTGTGCTGGCGTCGATGAAGTGATCATGTAGTACTCCCCTTGAAGTCCTCGGGTTGTGAGGCACAGGAAATCGATGTAGACCTTGTCCAGGGGCTTAAAGCGTTCTGCACCGAGAACCGTTTTCGAAAAGGGTGAGTGTGTTAGTGCGGCTTCAAGACAGACGGTGCAAGCGTGTTTTTCAACTCACGGTTGAAGCTGTTGTCCATTTGGAAGCAATAGCGCGCCTTCCGCGAAGGCTCCAACGTTGATTGAGTTGTTTAGGACGTCAACTGAGGGGTGTCCAAGTTGATGCCATATGTCTGCCGTTGCTTGATGTCCGCGTGTTCATGCGTAAGGTATTGCTTCCCGTGCTAACCTTCCTCCGTTTGTCCTTGGTGTTCTATCGCGAGCTCCAGATACGTTGGTGGCGAGGACTTGTACAGCTGCGGCGCGGAGAACGTCAAGACTTGTTCCTCTCACGCCATCGGAGTCGCTGAAGGTTCTTGTGTCGGACGCCACGGGGAGCAATTCTGGTCCTTGATAGGGTGCTGAAGCTTCGTCCTCACCTCGAGTTGCCACTTCTTTGGGCTGACTGGTGGCGACTTCTTCAGAGGTGCCGCCGATTGCTGCTCCCCTTGTGTCGAGGGGATAGTAACGAATGTCCCCTCCCCCCCTTGCCTGCCCCTCCATGCTCTGCCGGAGGGTTCCCTCCTGTCCAGCTGCTGCTCTAACCCCCACCCCTCCAGCAGGCAACCCGTCCCCCCCACCCCCCGCGAAGCGACTCAGCTTCGCCGTTGCTGCCACGCCTGTCACGCCTCCCCTCCCCCGCCTTCCCCCACTGCCCACGCTGCCCCCACCATCCCCTCGCCCCGCCTGCAGCCTCAGATCGCCCACCATGCCCGCATCCCCACCCACACCCCCTCCTCTCCCTGCCGCCACACCCTCCTGGCCCCCCGCCCTCACCCCCCCCGCCCTCCCAGCAGCTGCAGCTGTTGCTGGAGACTCGGGGCTCAGCCCCGCAAGTAGCGGGTCCAGCTCTGCTGCTGACGTGGCGACAGGTGATTGGTGCAGGAAGCGGTGTGGGAGGTAGCGCAGGTGCCACACGGAGTGCTGGCGGCGGGCTGAGGGGGAAAGGGTTGTGTGTATGAGCAAAGGGGGAAGGCAGAGAGTAGATGGAGTGGTTGAGGACACAACGTGAGTACGAGTGATAAGGGGATGGAAGTTGAAAAGTGGTGGTTGGAGTAGTAGAGATGGAGTGGTGGAGCGGAGGCACATGAAGTTGCCAGCGAAAGGCGGGTTGCTTGGGTTGGGAGAGTGGCCAAGATTGGTTGATTTGGGTTGGGGGAATCAGTGGGGGGACAATATAGTTGTTCAATTTGAGAATTATTAGGGGTTGGCGAATTTCTCAACCAAACCATTTTGGGCAAAATAATTTGGGCCAAATTTGCAATCCCCTAGAAGAATGGTAAAGCTGAATTGTACACCCGAATAAAATAAAAAACAAAAAATCAAACAAAAACAAATCAGAAATAAACAAACAGGGGAGCAGGAAATGGCAGGGAGTGAGGATGCAATTAATGCAATGAGAAGGCGTGGAGGAGAGGGAGGGGCGTGACCGTGGTTGAAGGTGGCGAGCAGCGGCACCTCGGTGGACGACCAGAGCACCTCCTCGCCCCCTCCTCCCTGCTGCCATGGCGGCCCGCCCTCCATGCCCACCGGCTGGAAGGGAAGGGGTGGAGGGGAGAGAGTGGAGGCGTGCGTGCGTTGTGGGGAGTGCAGGGAAGAGTGGTGGAGGAGATATTGTGGGAGGAGGCGGAAGGGGTGATTGGAGGAGGTAACGGAGGGATAGAGGTGGAAGGTAAATGTTGTGTGGGGAGTGGGAATTGATGATGAAATATGACACTGGCCCATTTGCAACAGCACCAGCACCACCACTTGCACCCTCACCTGCAGTTCCTCATGAGCATGTGAGAGCGTGAAGCACCCTGCCTCCATGAAAGCACCCCCCATGTGCGCCCCACCCACTGCCCCATCCGCCCAGTCAGCAGCACCCATAGCGCCACCCGCTGCCCGCCCTGCCTGCCCGCCAGCTGCCCCACCAGCACCGGCGGTGGCGGCAGTGGCAGGAGCAGGCAGGGAGGGGGTGATGGCAGGCGTGTGGGGGGAGAGAGCCAGGAAGGGAATGGGGGAGGCGGGCGAGGGGAAGGGAGCAGTGGCAGCAGCGGGGATGGGGAAGGCAAAGGGAGGGGAGGGCGGAAACGGTGCGGCGGGGGAGGGGGCGAGGGGGTGGGTGGGGAGAGGTGTGGATGGGTGGAAGGCGTGTGTGTGTGCTGGCTGAGACGGCAGAGACGGCTGGGATGGCAGGGGCTGCAGCAGCAGGCCGATGGGGAGCGGCCAGAGGCGCGAGCAGGTGAAGGGCAGCGGCATCTCGTGCATGTCACCTGCATGCGGGACAGACAGGGCGCAGGGGGGCAGGGCGGGCAGGGAGGGCAGGGGGCAGGGCAGGCAGGGTGAGAGAGTTTGAAACAACGTGCAAGAAGGGTGGCGAGGGAACAGAGCAACGAGGGGTGCAGGGGGGGAGGGGAGAGGCGATTGACCGAAGGGGACCATTACAGCCACCACCCCATCGCTGCCACACGGGCGAGCAAAGAGGCCGCTTTGCCCATCAGCTTGACCCGTTGCATGTAGCTCGCCCCAGGCTTATCAACGAAGGTGGGCTCGGAGGGAGCATGAGTGACTGACCATTGGTGGCGGCGAGTGTGAGCCCATGCGCGTGCAGCAGCGCGAGCGATGAGAGCGACGCCTCCCCGTGCATTCGCACCCATGCTGCCTGCACTCATGGTCATGGGCAGAGGGCACACGCACGGATGGGCGGAGCGGAGGGAGGGGGAGAAGAGGAGGGCGGGGGACTGGGTAAGAATGGGATGTTAAGGGGGCGGGAGGGTGGAGTGAGATGTGGTGATGATGAGCAGCAATGCTGCTATACAGACACAGAGCCATGGCATGGGAGCAATGATCACCTGGGAGACGGCATGAGAAATGGCATGAGCGCAGCACCTGGGAGATGGCATGTGGTGTGGTGAGCTTCTTGCGCAGCACGCCCTCTGCACTCCACTCCACGCTGCTGCCCCCGCCCCGCCCCATGCGACCCCATGCCACGCAGCGAGTGGGGAGTGGGGGGAGGAGGAAGAGAGGGAGGGCACGGGAGGTGGGACAGACACGAAGGCAAAGGTAAAAAATATTGATCGCCCCTCCCTCCGGTTATGTTGGAGTTGCTTCTGAGAATTTTCACAAGCAACTCCAGCATCGGGAGTTGGGACAGACAAGGTGGCAGAGGTCAAACACATTGACCGCCCCTCCCCCTCTCCCCTCTTCTCTGTCCCTTCTCCACTCCGTCCTCGCTCTCTCTTCTCTCTGCTCTCTCTCCTCACTGCCTTCCCTCCTCTCCCCTCTCTGCCCGCTCTCTCCGTTCCGCCCATCAATCACTCGCTGCCCTTTCTGCTTCCCATTCATGCCCGCCACGCCTCGCCCTCATCCCGCTTCCTCGCCCCTCATCGAATAGATCCCAGCCGCAGATTCCCATCGCTCTCCGCGCAACGATCTCCGCGCGCCACTCACCGCGCGCCCCTAACGGCCACCGTCTCCTCGCACGCGCCCCACAGCGCCGCCGCGTCGCCGCCGCCCGCCACCTGCCGGCCGTCGATCACTAGCGCGTCCCCCCGCGCCTCGTTCGCCAAAATCCGCGCCATTTGGACTGGATGTCCGGCCCTACATGCACCTGGGTCCACGCTAGATTTACCCGTGGTTGTCTAAACTCGTTCCACGAATGAAAGCGTTTCTCCACCAAAAACACGAAGCGGGCGAGCCTTGGGAGTGACGAATTCTGTGGCGAACAGTGTGATCATGTTGGGGGAAACATGTCGATCACCACTAAGAATAGCCTCTGTAACAGAGTTAAATTATCAAAAGGTTTACAATAACGGGTCTTTACAAAATGATTTTTTTTAAACACCTGTTTTTGAGCCCAGACAAGTGAATGGGAAGTGCTTTGTCTTTAGCACCCCAAAATAATACGCGACGGGGTGGTGGGCAGAAGGGCGATAAGACGGGGAGGAGGTGGAGACCTGGGTTGCTCGACAGGATGAAAATTAGGATAATATTGTTAGAAACAAGTAACTTAAGCGCCTCTGTCGTGTCGAAGCACTAAGTTATAAGCGAAGCAAAACACAGCGAAGCATTGGCGAGTCAACCCTCGGAGGTTGAACAACTGCTGGAGGTTACGCGAAAGTCAAAGGTCAGCGACCTTTGACCTGACAAGTACAGCGCGACAGCAAGGACAAACAACTGACTCGTTATTGAGCAGTTGCCCGAGTCGTCACTGTATCGAACCGCAACAGCAACAGCAAAACAGTTATTAGTTATAACCCTTCATATTCCCTTGTACTCTTATAAAAGCTTGTATCTCTTTGTTTCAATCAATCTACTTTGCCCTCGCATACCAGCGCAAGGTGGTTCACAGACTTATCATTAAACGCTTCCGCTATTACATTGTCCTGCTCAGAATTTAATCCTGCAAAGATCCTAAGGGCTTTTCTCAGCCCAACATGGTATGAGAGCTATCAGGACAAATTCAACTACAATCAAGACTTCTACAACATCACAAGGCATGGCAACGCAGAAGGAGAGAAGCTCCTGTAACGGCTCTCCCGGTACTACTCCTACTCCACCTCCTGCATCTGGCCTACAGACAGAGGAGGGCACAGCAACAAGACCGGCAGCTGGGTCTACCGAAACTCCCGCAAATCAAGCCGCGGGCTTCGACCCGGACATGATGGAGAAATTCTTCTCCTTCATGTCCTTCTACGAACAACACCAGCAAGGGGCACCTGCGCAGTCAAACAACAACAACAACAACAACGTGACACCGATGAGCCTTGACGGTTCATCCTACGCAAGAGGAAATCAGCAACAACAACCTACCTTCGCCCCGTACGAACCTCAGTGCGGTTCCGTCAGCTTCATGCCGCGCCAGCAGCCTTCACCTGAGCAAGAAAAAACATTGGATGCACTTCAAGTCCAGTCGCAGTTTGCGCACGTCTTAAAACTGCAGACGTCAAGACCGTTCGACAGTAAAGACTTCTTTACCTGGACATTCGAATTCGAGCTGATGATGGAAGGCGCGCAGATTCTTGGCTTCTTCGACGGGTCCCTGCCATATCCAACGCACGGGATGCAATACGACAAGCAGCAGTATACATATCAGTCCATGATGGCGTATACAATCCTACTGCGCAACGTCACACCGAACCAGCAGCAGAACATTCGGTCTTACCGAGGATACGGGAACTCCGCCGAGCTCGCGTACAACCACCTGAACAACCTGTATCAGGCAATAGACAGCGTCAATCAGAGTCGGTTAATGGCACAACTGACAACAGTGGAAATGAAACCGGGCGAAAAGGGATGGCGTATATCAGCCGCTGTCGCGAATTGCGCGACAAACTTCTTCGATGCGGAGGGTCGATATCAGAAGACGCCTTCGTCACAGGCGTCATTGGCGGTCTTGGTCCTCATTGGCGCTCCACTCGCGCCATACTCCGAGCTCACGGGAAGATCTCCGAAGCAGCACTATGCGCCGAAATTTCGCTGAACAGCAAGACATGGACCTGCAAGAGGAGCGGCACAAGAGGAAAACGCCAGTACCTGAATTCGCGTTCCACACTCAACGGCGCTACAACAACAACAACAACAACCGGCATCAATCGAAACCCGTACCTCCATTCTGTCATCTCTGCAAGACTTCAGGGCACCCTCGCACACACTGCCCGAATCGACAGTAGTCAACACCGCCGCAACGCCAACTTCGTCCTTCAAGTATTCAAGTGGCGTCCACACAAGCGCACCCCACGAGTCAACTGCAGTCCTCAACGACATCGTCAACGCAATCTGCACAAGGAACAAGAAACATCATCAGTTGCATGGCAAGACTGACTGACTCCTGCATCACCGAGTCACCACCGCACTACTCACCGGAAGAGCAACTCGACAACAGCACCCCTCGCCGCGAATCACTTCAACCGAACCCGACGTATGCAGCCATCGCTAAAAGCGAGCCGTCCGGGAAAGACACTTGGTTCTTGGACAGTTGCTGCGGACAGCATATGTGCTCCTCAGGTCGCTTCGTTCAACGCGAACACCAACTCCAACGCGAAGTCGTCATCACCGTTGCCAACAACCAGAACCTGCGCACACGACGACAAGGCGTGGTGCAACTTCAGTCACGAGAGACAAACGTCATATTGCAGATGTCAGAAGTGTTAATTGCGGAGGGACTCGGCTACAACTTACTGAGTGTCAATCAGCTGATGGCGAAAGGCATCCACCTCGAAGAAGACAGCACAACACAGGAGTTCAAGCTGTACCACGGGAGAGGAGGCCTCTACATCGGCAAGGCCGTACTGAAGAACAACGTGTTTGTTCTCGACTTCGTTCCAGATCTAGGCACCGCCGACAGCGACGGGATCGTCACCTTCACCTCCTGGACGCACCCACCAGATCTTGATCCTGACTTCAGCCCCGAAGGATTCTGGTACTCGCACACCATTCCTGAAGCAGAACGAACAAGAGCATTAGCAACTATTCAATCGGCAGCAGCAGAGACAACATCGGCAGCAGCAGAGACAACATCGGCAGCAACAGAGACAACATCGGCAGCAACAGAAATAGCATCGGCACCAATCGCGGGTCCTTCAACTGCACCAATCCCAATCGACGACGACACTCCACCGACTCCTGCGCAGCAACTAAACCCAACACCACGAGAAGTACATCGAAGCGCAAACTTCACCGCCTTCTACTCCAACTCCGACTTGTACCGTCGCTCACCCGGACATCGAGCTGGCGAAGATATCTGGCAAGCACAAATGAGACATCCAAGCAACATGGTGTTAAATAACACAATCAGAGCAGGCGTGCTCGACAAAAACTCACTGCTCCTAACCGACGGAAGCGAACTTCGACGAGCTCGCGAAATGTGCTTTACCTGTCCCGAAGCTAACTTACCACATAGGCCGTTCGCTTCTCACCACAACCCCAGCGCACCAGCTTACGCACCACTCAAAAAGGTGTACAGCGACATCCTGTACAACTGCGAACCTGGACAAGGAGCATACAGCTACACCATCATGTTCATCGATGCCGCCACGCGTTACGTTTGGCACCTCAATCTTCCGAGCAAAGACATGGCTTTCGAGGCTTTCGTCGCTTGGCTTCCAGTAGCAGAACGAGAATCAGGCGTGAAGCTAAAAAGCTTCCAGTCAGACGGAGGAGAATACACCTCACAAAGATTCAAGCAGTACTTGGCAGAAAGAGGGATCAAGAGGCTCATCTCCCTTCCCTACGCTCACCAGCTCAAGGCGTAGCATAAAGGATGAACAGGACTCTCCAGAACACCATATGCAAGCTGCTACGTGGCATGCGGCTACCCAACCACCAGTGGCCCGAAGCAATGGACCACGCTGTCATGCTGCACAACTTGCTCTCGTCATCATCGCTCCCGAACAACGCATCACCGCACCTGCTGTGGACAGGAAAACAGGGCAGCACAAAAATGTTAAGAGTTTTCGGATGCATGGTACAGTACCGACCCCCATCTGCACGAGCCGGCCGATTCTCCCAACGCGCACAGTGGGGACTACACCTGGGCATCGAAAGAAATTACAACGCGTGGAAGATTTTCGACGTCCACTCCAAGGAAACAGTAGCAGCACGTGATGTCATTTTCTACGAACGACTCACCCTTCCGACGTACCTTGCCAACCTGGAAGAAGATCGGGACCCCACAGGTGGCTTCCATGGTGACCGAGCCTTCGCCTCGGCAGCAGACGAAGGTGACTGGGACGAGCAGAAAATGGATGAAGCCTCGGAGGAAGCCGGACCTCTCCCTTACTGCTCCGTCGACGTCCCAATGGATGACGAAAATCCTCGCGAAAGCGCCTACGCCGAAGTATTTTACCACTTCGCCGACAACGGTTACGTTACACCTGCAAGAGTCAACACCAACGAAGCAGAATGCATAGGGCCCAACTTCATACCTGACCCAGAAGCAGGTGACGAAGCAGCTCATCCCGAGGACACAACGCTCCCCCGCTACACATAGAGTGGTCTCCAGATACTCCGCCTCGTCACCGCGGTCCACGGCACGGAGATTCCTAAGGAGCGTGCCACAGTTCAGCAGGCTCTGGGGGGGGAGCATAGGGGAAAATGGCGCGAAGCCATGGACAAGGAGCTGAAAGCACTGGAGGAACG